TGTTTTGTGCTGCTAACGACCAGTACTTACCACCCCTATCACCCGGTTTTTGATTTTGGGAAAGTCAATTTTGGCCCAATTTTCGCATTTTTGATAAGGGGTACCATCATCAAAATTTTCAAAAAATGGGCCAAAAATGAAGTTTCCCAGATTTTAATGCGAATCAATTGGGAATCATAGCAATCAAGTTACGAGCCCTACGAGGTATTACATTCCTCATTTGGACCATTTTTGGTCGTGCTATGGCCAAAAAACTGATTTTTTTCCGCCCAAAATCAAGTATACGTCTTCTGACTGCAAAGATTCCGGACTTGTTGCAGTCTCTTAGCTCTAACTTTGCCAAAACAAGACGCACGGCTAAAACGGTGACTGTTTTGTGCAGCTAACAACCAAAACTTTACTTCCCTATACCTACTTTTAACATTATTGCTCTGCACTTTTGCTGCGAGTGCTGATTTAATGGCTAAAAAATCAAAATGCCACATTTTATGCGGGTTTTTAGCTCTCGCTCAGCCAAAACAAGACGCAGAACTAAAAGAACGACTGTTTTGTGCTGCTAACGACCAGCACTTACCACCCCTATCACCCGTTTTTTGATTTTGGGAAAGTCAATTTTGGCCCAATTTTCGCATTTTTGATAAGGGGTACCATCATCAAAATTTTCAAAAAATGGGCCAAAAATGAAGTTTCCCAGATTTTAATGCGAATCAATTGGGAATCATAGCAATCAAGTTACGAGCCCTACGAGGTATTACATTCCTCATTTGGACCATATTTGGCCGTGCTATGGCCAAAAAACTGATTTTTTTCCGCCCAAAATCAAGTATACGTCTTCTGACTGCAAAGATTCCGGACTTGTTGCAGTCTCTTAGCTCTAACTTTGCCAAAACAAGACGCACGGCTAAAACGGTGACTGTTTTGTGCAGCTAACAACCAAAACTTTACTTCCCTATACCTACTTTTAACAATATTGCTCTGCACTTTTGCTGCGAGTGCTGATTTAATGGCTAAAAAATCAAAATGCCATATTTTATGCGGGTTTTAGCTCTCGCTCAGCCAAAACAAGACGCAGAACTAAAAGAACGACTGTTTTGTGCTGCTAACGACCAGCACTTACCACCCCTATCACCCGTTTTTCGATTTTGGGAAAGTCATTCCTCATTTGGACCACTTTTTGGCCAAAAAACTCCGCCCAAAATCAAGTATACGTCTTCTGACTGCAGAGATTCCGGACTTGTTGCAGTCTCTTAGCTCTAACTTTGCCAAAACAAGACGCACGGCTAAAACGGTGACTGTTTTGTGCAGCTAACAACCAAAACTTTACTTCCCTATACCTACTTTTAACAATATTGCTCTGCACTTTTGCTGCGAGTGCTGATTTAATGGCTAAAAAATCAAAATGCCATATTTTATGCGGGTTTTAGCTCTCGCTCAGCCAAAACAAGACGCAGAACTAAAAGAACGACTGTTTTGTGCTGCTAACGACCAGCACTTACCACCCCTATCACCCGTTTTTTGATTTTGGGAAAGTCAATTTTGGCCCAATTTTCGCATTTTTGATAAGGGGTACCATCATCAAAATTTTCAAAAAATGGGCCAAAAATGAAGTTTCCCAGATTTTAATGCGAATCAATTGGGAATCATAGCAATCAAGTTACGAGCCCTACGAGGTATTACATTCCTCATTTGGACCATATTTGGCCGTGCTATGGCCAAAAAACTGATTTTTTTCCGCCCAAAATCAAGTATACGTCTTCTGACTGCAAAGATTCCGGACTTGTTGCAGTCTCTTAGCTCTAACTTTGCCAAAACAAGACGCACGGCTAAAACGGTGACTGTTTTGTGCAGCTAACAACCAAAACTTTACTTCCCTATACCTACTTTTAACAATATTGCTCTGCACTTTTGCTGCGAGTGCTGATTTAATGGCTAAAAAATCAAAATGCCATATTTTATGCGGGTTTTTAGCTCTCGCTCAGCCAAAACAAGACGCAGAACTAAAAGAACGACTGTTTTGTGCTGCTAACGACCAGCACTTACCACCCCTATCACCCGTTTTTTGATTTTGGGAAAGTAAATTTTGACCCAATTTTCGCATTTTTGATAAGGGGTACCATCATCAAAATTTTCAAAAAATGGGCCAAAAATGAAGTTTCCCAGATTTTAATGCGAATCAATTGGGAATCATAGCAATCAAGTTACGAGCCCTACGAGGTATTACATTCCTCATTTGGACCATTTTTGGCCGTGCTATGGCCAAAAAACTGATTTTTTTCCGCCCAAAATCAAGTATACGTCTTCTTACTGCAGAGATTGCGGACTTGTTACAGTCTCTTAGCTCGAACTTTGTCAAAACAAGACGCACGGCTAAAACGGTTACAGTTTTATGCTTTTTTAGGCAATCGATTAGGAAATTAAAGTGTCGATACGACATTCCATATTTTTTGAAGCCATCAATAGTTTTTTTTTCACATTTTTAAAGCTATAAACTGACGATATCTTATCATTATTGCATTATGCCAAGTTTTGATCGATATACGTTCAGAGATAAAAGTAGCTGCGATGAAGAAATAAAAGTGTCTGCTGTCAATATTTTTATTCGTTTAATAAATCGGATTATGTTGGGCAATCTGTTACCGAGGGCTTAAGGAACGCAGCATTAACGAAAAATGGTTATCCGGCCGAGACATTCATTTCGTTCAAACTGCTAACCAAGTTGAGTACATCAATAAAATTGTAGTCCATAGAAATCCTGTGAGGTGGGCGGAGTGGTTGGGATTGCTCCACATAGAGTCATCTGCGATTTACAGCACCCAACCCATCATCATCAGCGAGAAGTTTACTCCACCAAGCTGGCACTTGGCAAAACAATAAATACTTTATAAATTTGCTGGCATTGCCGGGGAATTGCCTGGGAATTTCCATCTGTTTGGCTAGTTTGCTGGACCCAACAACGATCTTTCAAAAGGCATACGTGACCCGAAAGGCATAGCCCAGATGTCCAGCTACACAGTTGACCATGATCTGGTTAAAATTCGCAATGGACTGGGGGCATGGCCCGCATACCGGATAGCAATAGCCGACTCCTTCCTTTGGGACACTTGGTGCTCCGTTTATTACGTGTAATAGCTTCGGTAATTGTCACGTAGCAAACAAAAAGGGCAACAAAGGACACTCGCTCGTAATTGTGAGGTCTGCTTTCCATTCTTTTTTTTTTTTCATGGGAATAGGCCATGTGCTGTCCGGAATGATGGTGTGTTTGTGATCCGGAGAACCCAACTCATCATCTGATTACATATGCAGTTGCAGTCCGTGGCACACCTAGCAGGTGCACGGGCGAAAATCCAACGGCAAAGGCAATTAGGCATTCGCCAATCATCATGAGTAATTGCTTGGCCAACCGCAAAGGATCAAACGGTGCACCTGCGATTGAAAACGAGATGGTAGTTTGAATTGGGTGGAAGGAAGGAAGAACAAACCTACACGCGATGACTCCTGGAATCGTAGTTCATCAATCAGCGCCCAACGTGGACCACAGACCAATTCATTTGCTGTCCTCAGGAGTGGCAATTGATTTATCTGAGATGGAAAACAGAGCCGAGCCTATCGATCCGTTTATGGAAACCATACTCTCCTCCATACTGCATCATTATAGTTATTTATAGAGTCAGCCGCCTTATATTGGTATTGCTTGACTGGGAACTTGGGATGATGATGACTCCTCTGTCATAGCTAGAGATTTCTCTTTTGTGTATATGTCTGAAGAGACGTGGTCTGCGGCTGACAGCTCAATAACTAGCTGCCTTGGGTAGTTTGTTCTCCCCGTTTACATGTGAAAGGAACATCGCATGCAGCAGTGAAATTAATGCCCAACTCATTAGCAAGAAATGGTCAGCAATGTGGGTGATTTGCATCCTCCATCCTTGAACCTTCTGCACTTGTGCCAAAATCCCCACTAGCTTGAGTTAATGCCGAGGTGAAACCAAACTGGCAGGCAATCAATTAGCCTTCCGACATCGGACTTTTTGGTTTTGCCCAGCGGGCCACTTCATTTGGCTGGGTAACAGAAATGGCTGGCTGCCTAAAAGCATACAACGCTTTTGCCTGAATGAACCCGAATTTTTGATGTCGTTTTATTTGATTTGATTTCCATCTTATTTACATAAAAACACTCAGATTTATACATATATAAATGTCATAATAATAATATTAATAATAACTATAATAATTGCAATTGCCAAGTTCGTTGAATCGTGTGTGTTTGTTAGCTAAAATGAAACGTTTGCAGATATATTATTTATTTATTTTATTAATACCCGAAAACGTATATTCATCTACTTAAAATTGGATTTTTGTCAATTTTTTACTTCGGATTAACTTGTTTTATTTTTTTAATGGACCTTGGAGTGACACTGGCCACTCCGTAAGCTCCGTTCTGACAACCATTTATTTTTGAATGAGAGGAATCCTCCCGGGAGGAGCTTCCTGTCTACCCTGTAAAATCAGCCTGCTGTCAAATGCTTCTTGATTCGTTGAAACCCTCCACTGCCTCTTGATCATGATCAGCGGAATTTCTACTCTTAGGGGTAGAACTCTATAACGTGAAAATAGAAAAAAAAATTGGAGTTTTAGAAGTAGCACAGTGGTTTGAAACTTGGGTAAACATTACTCATTCGACATGTTGGACTGGACAGTTAACATTATTTTTTAAAGCATTTGAAAGGCTTAAAACTTCCAGATTTTAACAAGATACAGCTGTACTAAAAGAGCATAAGTTTAAACTATTATTATATAAAACATTTTTTAAGCTTTTTTTAACCACCATGCTAACTCTAAAGCCAAGTTATTAAGACTAATCTGCTGTTTAAAAATAGTTATCCAGCTGAGCTCTACCCACCCTTCTCCTTTGCCTACAGATTGCATCCACTTAAAGGGATTAACTCACACTGAATAACTTGCTCTAGCGCTACTCTAAACACACATATTAAAACACTAATCGATAAGATTAAGAGGGGTTAACCCCAAGCTTTATCGTTCTTTCCCATCTAGCCACATCCACACACATTCAGAACGCGGCAGAATCGTTGACAACCACAGTTTCTATTGCAGTTACATTGCATCATCACATATTGGTGCACTCGATCGGTATTCTTTGGTATACTAAAGTGACTCCGTCTCCGCCTGCTGCTGCTGCTGCTGCTGTCGCCGTCGGCTGCCTCAGAGTCGTGGACTCTCCAGGATCGTATGGCTGGACATGACTGAATTGGCCAGTGCAATGGAATTACCAGCCACGGACAGATTCGTTTCATTCTTGGAACGTCTTCGCCAGAAACAGCACGGAGCACATAATCGCTCACAAATCTTCATTCCCTTAAAGGTGTCCACAAATGCTCGCCGGAAGCTGGCGTTCATGAAGCAATAGGTGATTGGATTGCAGCAGCTGGAGGAGTAGGCCAGCAGCTGCAGGAAACTAATGGCCGTGTAGTCCACATACTCGTAAACTGCCGGTCCCAAAAGCATGGTCATCGTATTGATTACATACAACGGTGTCCAGCAGATGAAGAACTCCAGTACCAGGACGAACAGCATCTTCACCACTCGCTTCTTGCTCTCCAAGCTCTTGGTCTCGTTGGATCTGTAAGATACAAATTGGCACTTTGATTTTTCCCTTCCTCTGCATCACCATTACCTTCTTAGCCCCGCCTCTGTAATCCTTAGACTGGGCTGGGATAGAGACTTCCTCCTCGATTCATTGTCACTCATGTAGCCCTGCTGTTGTGGCTGCATCTGGTGGCGCATCCTATGCACTCGACTGCAGCACTCAGCATTTGCTGTTCCCGTTACGGTTACACTTCCACCTCCTCCATTAATCTGCTGATGACGCAGGGACTTCACGGAGGCACTACGCATGCAATAGAGATGTCTTCTTCCCTCACAGGAGGCACCTCCGCCTCCGCCTCCTCCTCCTCCACCGATTAATCTTCGCTTGCTGCCGCAGTGGCTGTAATCCGCTGTAGAAAAGTAAGGGTAATGAGTTGGTAAGTTTAAGTTTTATGATAAAAAGTCTATGTAGAGAATAGAATTTATAAAATTGCAATTGCCACTCCCTCCCATAGTGAGTTGCCTCAAAGCTAGCGTGATTGAAACCTTCAACTGAAGTTCATGTCAGTTGATTGATAAATATAGACATCACGAGGCTAATAGGCCGTAATCATGGAATCACGCAACTCCAAAATGACCTGTCTCAGCTGTTTTGATGTGGTCAAAACGGTTGCATTTGCCTGTTGCAAGTCGTATGCGAATGTGCATTTGACGCTGGAGATTGACATCGATGTGGCTGCCACTCCTACTGTTTTGTCTCCTTGTGGTGGTCGCTCTGCTAATTGCCAAATGGCAGGGCAACCACTGGCGACGGTTGGGCCTAGAGGGACCCTTTGGCTGGCCATTTGTGGGCAATATGTTGGACTTTGCTTTGGGAAGGTGGTCTTACGGTGAAGTCTATGAGGAGATCTACAGGTGAGGTTAAGTTCTTAAAGACTTCTTAGTGATTATCCTGTTCTTACAGACTCAATCCCGACCTGAAATATGTGGCTTTCTATCGCTTGTTCAACGAACCCGCCATTCTGGTACGTGACCAGGAGTTACTGCGTCAGATCTTGGTGGGCAGCAACTTCACCGACTGTGCTGATAATGCTCTTCATGTGGACCAACATCGTGATGTCCTGGCTAGCCATAATCCCTTCATCGCCACTGGTGACCGCTGGCGCATTTTGAGAGGCGACCTTGTCCCCCTCTTCACGCCAAGTCGTGTCCGTCAGACCTTGCCACATTTGGCACGAGCTTGCCAGTTGCTTAGGGAACAAGTGCCGCAGGAACGGTTTGAAGCCAAGGAGTTGGCCACTCGCTATACCCTTCAGGTGGTTGCCTCCGTGGTCTTTGGCCTGGATGCCCATTGCCTGAGCAGCCGGAAAGTGGGTGAGACTCCAAGTCGCTGGCTTGAATGGCTGGCTCCACTTTTCCAGCCCAGTTCTTGGAGTTTGCTGGAGACCATTGCATTGCTGCACTCACCTCGTTTGGCTTGGATCATAGGCCACAGGTTGGTGTACTGAAACCCATCTGCCCTCTTGTAATCCATTTTCTCTTTACAGATATGTTCCCCTTCCTCTGCAGCATTGGTTCAGGGATTTGGTGGAAGCCAGAAGTGGCGCAGACAATCTCCTGCAATGGCTGGCGGATAGCAAAAGGACTTTGACAAAGGATGAGCTAACTGGTCATGCCACCACTCTTCTTCTGGAGGGCTATGAAACCTCAGCCATGCTACTAGCATTTGTTCTTTACGAATTGGCCATTAACGAGGATAAACAGCGACGTCTTCACATGGAACTGGATGAGGTGGCTCAGCGTCATGATGGCTCGTTACTAAATCAAGCTGCTCTGGCTGAACTTCGCTATACTGAAGCTGCACTGCTTGAGGCACTGCGTCTGCATCCAGCCATGCAGGCTCTCCAGAAGCTCTGCACGAAATCCTTTACTCTGCCATCTCAGAAATCTGGAACTGGTCAGGAATTCAAAGTGGATTTGGGCACTGTTCTGGTTCTGCCTGTTCAGGCTATTCATCTGTGGGTTAACTTTTCCATCTTAGAGATTATCTTTTTATATAACCTTCCTTATCATTCTAGTGATCCTGACTTGTATCCCGAACCTAATCAGTTTCGTCCAGAACGCTTTTTCAATCAGCCACCTTTGGGCTGCAGATTTTTGGGTTTCGGCGCTGGTCCCAGAATGTGTCCAGGAATGCGACTTGGCTTGCTTCAGACGAAGGCTGCTTTGGCTACACTCCTGCAGGATCACAGCGTCTTGCTAGCGGATAGGGATCGCATGGAGGTGGAGGTATCTCCTTGTACTTTCCTGACTGCCAGCAAAAAGGGTATCTGGCTGAGGTTGATGAAAAGGGTAACTTAATAGGAAAGAGGTTTTGAACTTCGATTTATCAAGGAATCTATCAAGTTTGGACTTTATGAAGAAAAGGTTTAATATTTAAGGAATATTACCTTAAAGTTAATTAAAAAAGTAATAAGAACCAAATTGAGACTTTGAGAAATGAAGTTAAGAAGTTATTAACAGCTTTTTGATAATATTTCTGTCGAACAGAAAGTCAGATAAAACCAAAAAGTCATTATCTTTCAATCCCATAAAAACAGCTGCGACTTGAAAACATATCCTTTTTCCCAGTTTTATTGCTGTTTTGCGGCTTGGAAAATAGTTGAGCCGAACATAATTTAAATTCCCATTAAAAGCGCAGTTTGCGGATGATAACATACGAGCTCTAAGCACGCGTTGAACTTCTAAATAATATGGCAATTTCCATGAAAATATATCCAGCCAGAGGAGAGGAGGATAGGAAAGGACAGGATATTTCTGTGACCCAACGATATACATACTATATATAGATAGATAGATAGATAGGAGAGGAGAGTCTGTCCTCCGGGCTGGCAATTTATGACAGGGTAATGTCAAACGATGGCCGTAAACGACAAGCAAAAATAGCAGCAACAAGAAAAAGTTTAAAAATTTAATCAAATTTATTGTCACACAGCTGGGGCATGAGTATGTGTGAAAATGAGTGGGAGGCAGCCTCCCTTGCCAGCCTAGGAATGAGCCAAAACGGCCTTTAACGAGAGCTCTTAAATGCTCGTCTCGTGCATAATTTACGGCACTTAAATTGACCTTTTTAGCAGCAACAGCAGCAGCAGCAGTCCGTTTGTCCCCCAAAACAGATAGTTAAGCGGGCCTAGAGAGGTCAGCCACCTAGAAGAAGCACCCGGAAATGAATCACTTCGATGACCTCCAGTAGAGAGCGTCCGCCCCACGAGTACCGCGATAATTCCTGAAGGTCTATGCTAATGCGAACCATTTCCATTTCCCATAAAGGACTTAACACAGAACCCTACTACCCTTTCATGCAAATGAGTCGCTACGGGAATGGCATCCTAGAAGATCTACACCTCTCTTACCAACGTTAATTGGAGCAAAAAAAAAAAAAGAAAGACAAGTAGAGTAATGTTTTCCTGGCAAAGATGAAAGAATGTCTGCTGCCAGAGGCTCAGTCTTAGAGTGATTTCCACGGGGATTCCACGGATGACTTCGCTCTCCGACCGACAGGCAGGCAGTGTGTGCATTTATCAAGCACGTCACGTTATCAACACGCATCCAAGGAATTCAAAGAGGTTACTTCTCAGAATGGTTCACCCTGTGGGGGAATAGGTTCTATATTTACACGAGCACTCTCTGTCTGTAACATTTGGCAGACTTTGGCGCGCCCACTTAAAGTCACAGCATTAAAGGCGAATTAGAAGAATTGATTTGGTTCAGCTTTAGGCCTTGGGCTGCCTAGAATGGTTGTGCCCATAATCTCAAGATTATTCACAGCATTCGCAGCTGGAAGGGATGGGAATGGGTATATGGTGATAGCAAAGCGCCATCTAGCCATGGGGAGTGCTCTTAAAGCCGTCGATGCGAATGCAAATGAAAGTAAAAACGCCGCAGGCTTTCGCTTTCGTTTTCGCTATTGTCTCTTGGTTCTTGTACCTCCTCTCTTTTCTTTTTTGGTTGGAACTCCTCTAGGCTCCAAGCTCCATCCTCCATCTCCCACCCAAAACCAGCCATCCAATTCACTTCCGCGATTTAAGCCAGAGTCGTCGACACTCGAACCTTTTCGTGCATGCCAAACTTGGCCATGCAAATTGCGTGTGACGCAGTTTCTGGCGGAGCTTTGGGTAGTTGAACTAATCTCGAATGGCGGCGCCTCCCCCGGGACAAGTCGCAACTAATAAACCTCCGACAGCTGGGACACCGCTGAACCCACAAAACCCTTTGACCCTCGCAGAGGGAACTTTGCCAAAATTTAAACAAGAATTTCTTACCATAGTAGTATTGGGAATGATGATGTTGCTGCTGTTGCTGGTGGGGCACAATCGTGTCAAGGGACTGGCAGTGGCTTCCGTTGGAGCGCCGCTGGCTGCCAGGTCCCGAAGCGGAGGCGGCGGCTGTGGAGGCGGTAACCTCCGGGCCACTGCTGCCAAAGTTCATGGCCCGCTCGTTGCGCATGCTCACGTACAAGGTGCGAGTGATGAACAGGTAGGTGAAGCTCAAAGCCAGCAATGGGAGGACCAAAAGGGCCAGATCCAGAAACAGATTGTAGGCCCTCTCGTAGTTCAGGCTATCCGCCGGCCATTGTTCGCGGCATTTACGTAGTCCTTGAAAGATACAAAAAAGAAAGTATTTTTCGATTAGCTTCTGGCTATCAGCGAATCAGTTTGGTATCTTCTAGCCTTACCTGGTCGACTGGTAGGCATCAGTTGGCTAAAAGCAGCAATGGGCGTCATGCATACCAGACTTCCCAGCCAGATGATGGCTATGATCTTGTTGGCATGGTTTATGGTCTGCCAAGTGCGGGATCTCAAAGGATGACAGATGGCATAGTAACGCTCGCAGGAGATGGCCACCAAAGTCCAGGACGAGACGGCCACAGAGGCAGCTAAAAAGAAGAAGGTAAAGAAAATAAAGTGAAAGTGAAAGAATGTCTCTCATGACCAACTTCTTAGTAAGAAAATATTTAAAATTTAAATAAACTTAACAACCCACTAAAATCTCACATTAAACTTGTTTATTTCCCGGAATAAAATCATAATCATCAGCGTGAAAAGAAATTAATAAAGTCAATTTCCTGGCGAAATCAAAAATATTGCTAATCTACGCCTGGCCATTTGCCATCCTTCGTAAACTTTTCCTGACTTTTATGACTTCAATATTAATGGCCATTTCCTGGTTGCCCTTGGTTCAGTTTTTTTTTTCCTCTCTCTTATTTTTTTCCATCCATAAACTTTTATTTGGGCACAATTGTGTTCTGCTTGGTCCATTGGAGACCATTGCCTCCTCAGGAACAATTAAAATGTTAATGTCCTTTGTCAGCCTCAACTTGTTTTCCCTCTGTTTGAGTTTGGGTTTGGGTTCTGTGCTCTATGATAGCTTTGTTGCCGCATTTAATCAAAAGTCCCCCAACGCGGCGGCCTACAGTTTTCAAGTTTTCCCCGGCAATGGGCTATCGTCATTCCTAATCGCCACCATCACAATCGCAATCCACAATCCTCTACTCCTACTCCTTTGCTTATTCCCAATCCGAATCCCCATCCTAATCCTAACTGACTGGCTGGCTGGCTGGCTGGCCTGGCATCAACAGCGCAATAAAGGCGGCAAAACACCGCCACATTCGCATAACTTGCTAAGTGGATTCTGGAAAGACCACCTCTAAAACGGGTTGAGTGTGTTTTCCTTTTTTTTTTTTCCTTTTTCCTTTATATATATGCAGCCTGGCAGCCTCATTGGCGGTATTTGATGATGGGAAAAGCGGGGAAAGCTCATTAACAAAATTAAATTTAGCTCCACCGCGTGCCAAACTCCATAATACATAGAGAGAGAGGGGAACCCCTTTGGCCTGGACAAAATGTGGACCATCATTCCATGGCTCAGTGATTTCGAGAGATCGGAGTCCCGCAACAAAAATGTAAATTTTATGGAAATGCTGAAAATAGAAGCCGGACCGCAATGCTGGGCCTGCAATGAAATGAATGAAAGGCAAATACACGTTCACGCCCACGCTTTTTCGATTTGCCAGGAGGCGGAGGGGGGTGTGGGGTTGTGAAAATGTCAAATGCTTAAAGCGGAAAAGTGTGTCGAAAGAATGGCTGATTGAACGAAAACATACACACACGAAAATATCGAAGAAGAACTTTGACATGGACAAATGTTAGGTCAGGTTTTTTCATGCTGGAAATATGACCTAAGCTGGTCAACTCCTGAGCTGGCTGAGACCTGAGCTAGCCAAGTTCTGAGCTGGCTTAGCCCCTGCATAGCTCCGTGATATCTCTGATAATCGCCCCTTAAAAACCTGTTTTACTTCTTCTTGTTTTTTTTTTTTTGTATTTCTTTCCAAGGATTATTTTGTCGCCGCCATAAAACAAGCTAAGCTCCTCCTGGGGGCAGCCTGCTGAGTGTTAGAATAAAATTATTAAATATGCATTTCTTATCTGGCAGCCAGTGCTGGCTGCCTCTCAACGACCTATTTCAAAAACATGACAGATTTGTTGCAAATAAAAAACAAGAAAACAAAAATATATAAAAAAGATAACAAAATAAATGACAGGCATTTGCAAAGTTTGTTTCCTTTTCTGAATTGTATTTTTAATGGTTTTTCTTTTTGAGTTGATTTATGACTTGGAATTTATTTACATTTATTGATTTTTGTTTGATTATTTTGGATTAAGTTTATTTATATTGCTGAGAGATATGATCAGGATTTATTTTTTAATAAGTTGAAAATATTTTAAAAATATTTATAAGATTAAAATTGAATATAAAAGTAAGCACTATACTTTAAGAAATTTGTTTCCCTTTTATATTGTATTTTTATGACGTTTTAGAGTTTATTATTGATTACCTTTTGGATTATTATAGATTAAATTTAAACTTATTGGTTGGATATACCTTAAAAGATTTACTATTTAACTAATTTAAATTATTTAAAAAATATTTATAAGGTTAAAATATGTTTATAAAAGTAAGCACCATACTTTAGGAACCTTTTAAATTGCATTTTTAAGCCGTTTTTGAGTTTATGATTGAGTTTTTGTTTGATTATTTTGGATTAAGTTCAAACCTATTGGTAGGATATATCTAAAAGATATATTTTTAAGCTAATTTTAAATATTTAAAATATATTAATAAGTGTTAAATTCTTGCCAAAGTTAGCAAAACACTTTAAAGACTTTGTTTTTCTTTTTAAATTGCATTTTTAACGCTTTTTTGAGAGTCTGACTTGGAATTTATTTAAATTTATTAATTTTTTTAAATTATTATGGATTAAATTTAGCCCTATTTGGAGCTAGATAGCTTAAATATTTATTATTTAACTAATTAAAAATATATAAGGGAAAATAAAAGATTACCAAAGCTAGCAGAAATCTTTAAAGACCTTTTTTTCCTTTTTAAATAAAATATTTAACATATTTTCTATGATTCTATGATTAATGATTGAAGATTTTTTTAAATTTAATACCTTAACAAATCATTTAAAATTATTTATTGAATAAAACTTAAATAAAGTGCCAACTGAAACACTTTCTATAATTTTTAAGCCATTTTTTCTAAATAAATGCATTTAAAAAATATTAAAAATATATAAAAATATATGTATATAAAACTCCCAAACTTTAAAATAAAAACCTTTTAAAAAGTTCTCAACTCACAAATCAAACTAATTTTGCCTTTATTAACCCATAATTAATGATCTACACTGATTAGCAACCAAAATCAATTACTAATTAATAGAATTAATCACTATGGCAAGCCTTCAAAAACACTTTAAATTGCCTAATAATTTTCTAGAATATTTCAAAGAGCAAAAGCTAATGCCGAATGCCGAATGCCGAAAACATGAAAAGCCAAAAAGGACAAACATTCAACGGACAAGCTAAGATCCGAGAACATGCAAACCGACATATTTGTACGGAAAAATGACAAATTGATGGCGCTGTCGACGAGCATGGGCATGGGCATCTCGGATATAGCCACATTCGGTGGACAGATCTCAGGTGCTCAAAGCCAACTCGGTTCGGAAAATGATGACAATGAGCCGGGTTCCCGTTTCCCTCGTGGCTTGGCTAACACCACCTAAATCCTCCCACTCCCACTACCACTCCCACCCTTAACCTGAACTGCCGTGCGTGTTCGAGTGACAAACTTTGAATGGTTTTCCCCCATGCAGAAACATCCTGTTGTTGTTCTTGTGTGGGTGTGTGTGTGTGAGTGTGGCTATAACTTTATGTATGCTGCAAATTGTGGGAAATCAAATGAAAGACCGGACTTGCAAAACGGAAAATATAACATTTTAGTTTCTTTGTTGGGCATTCCATCGTAGGAGACTCATCATTTTGTTCGGTTTTGTGGAAAAGAGAAATCTATCTAACTTGGGCCTGCAAGAGTTTTCCCTTGGTTTTCCTCATTCTGCAATTAAAATGGCCACAACCTTGCCTCTCATATTTCATCTGTGTTTATTGTCGCCTACGGCTTCTGGCCAAATTAAACTCTAATAAAGTTGGAGGAGCACCTGTGTAGATGAGGGAGAGAAGAGGTGCACGGCAGCTTGTACATAGCTCAGTGTGAACTTTTCCGGCTTTTCACGCTGCATAAAATGAACTTTTCAACTTTGCTTAGCTGCTAATTGTACCGGACTTGGTATCCACCACCATCTATCATCCACTTGGAAAGCCAACTGAGGGTTGTGGCCAAAAACATTTTACTTCCTTTCTGGTTATTTGTTTTTCGATCTTCTTTGGACCCACACCCACCTCTCACCTTTCGACACCCATTTTGGACCAGGTCTCAAAAAGTTATATTAAATTAAGCTAACAACCGCAAAAGTATGAAACTGGCCTCTGCCCTCAGAGAGTACAAGTTGCAGTTCGACAGGCTTCCGTTTCTGGGTAAGCCACCTGCCGTGGGCAATTTTGCATGCACTCCTTAGTGGTGGCTCTACACTGGGAGAAAGTACTACTAAAAGGTAATATATTTTTATGATTATGAAGAAATGTACAAGAAGTAATAGCAGTTGATGTCTGTAGAAAGGAACCTCTTATCTACCAAAGTAATTCACAAGTTTTCCCTTTTTTGTTGCCTACTTTCAGGCACCTCAAACTATTTTAAGGCCTGCACGATTTCTAGGGATATTTTCTACAATATTTACTAATTTTACCATCTAAAAACCACTACCTTTCCATTAATAATATATCTTTCTAATATTCCCTTATAATATTTCTCACCCTGCACATCTCAACTGACAAGGCAAGGCAAGGTAAATAAACGCCAACCGTCGAGTGTGGTCTTGCCAAGAGTTTTTCTCTCAAGCCTTTTGAGGTGGACCAGAAGAAGGGGGATGCCCAGGGTCCAGCTGAAAGTCACTTATTTGGTCTGTAATTTACGGGCAAGTTGTGAGGTCAAAGGAGTAAGTTGAGTACCAATTAAAAGTGCTGTTACCTCAGACTGATTCCTGGCAAAGTAAGTACTAAGCCATCTCCTCCTTCTTTTATTTTTTAGACCCTTTCAATCAGACTTTAAACTATAATCCCAGCCAGGACACTCAGCACTATATTAATAACTCCTCCTCGTCTGTTTAATGAGTGTAATGTTATGCAAATAGTGGGGGCACATACAATGGATTTGCAACCGCAGCGCGTGATGTGGCATCAACTAATTGTTGGATTTGGGATTTTAGCAATGGCGAGAGTGGATCAAAAAGTTCCCCAGTAAAACCTTCAATTCTAACAGCTTAAAAACTGTTACGGTTAACCCCCCTCTCTCTCTATCTCTCTCTCTGCTTGATTTTCATTTCATCAACGTAAATATTTGAAGTTCAGCGAGCATTGGTTTTGTTTAAACAAGCTGTTTGGATTTATGTTGATATGTAACGTATTCATCAGATAC